AGTGAGCGCTCGGTGCTACCAACAGGTCTGGCGCTAAAGGAGATCCCCCCGCAAGACAAGGATCTGCTAGGCCGTTGGAAACCCGAGGGGTCCGACGTGTACGCTAGATCCTTTGCGGGTAGGGTGTCCCGTCTCCAAGCTCTCTTCGCTAAGACAGCTAGGGGGGACGACCGCTACGAGGCGCTCGACGAGCGTGAAATCGCCGCGGACCTCGAGCCCTGGCTGGAAGAAAGGGCCAAGCTAACCCACAGCCAGGCTATCCACATGGCGGCGAGGCTGCGGAAGATCTGGATGGAGGGCCTGCTAGGAGTAGGAGTCCCGACCGGGAGTAGCGAGGCCTCTGAAGAGCTAGAGGTTCCCGAGGGACCGGACGAGCCCGCGGAACCGCCAGTGGCCGGGAGTAGCTCCGAGGCCTCTGCAGAGGTCGTGGAACGGCCCGCTAAGAAGCAGGCCAGGTTCCCGACCGCAGCCAGGGCAGCTATGTAATCGTAGAGGTCCCAGGTGCCATTTTCCGCCTGCACAAAGCGGGCGCTACAGGTTGCTGGATGGGGAAGCGGCGTGCTTTCCGCAACGCTAGGGTTTTTGATTCGGTTCCGGAGCCGCATGAGTACACACATGTGTGCAAGCTATGCTGGCCGAACCAGGGGGCTATCTCCGAAGGGGACGCTAGCGAAGGATCGCTCGCTAACTCGGAAGATGACGAGGCCCCAGAGGATCACGCAACGGGGTCCGCTAGCAGTCATCCTTGAGCGCAGGGCGTGCTAAGCCGCCGAACTCGCACTCGCACTGAGGCTAGAAAGGCTGCTAGGTCGGCACCCTCTTTTCCTTTCCCCTCTGTCTCCCTCTCTCTCTCTCTCTTCCCTCCCTTGCGAAACGCCGCTAGTTTTTAAAGGGGGTGTGCTCGGGGGGGGGGGGGGGGGGGGGGGGGGGGGGGGGGGGGGGGGGGGGGGGGGGGGGGGGGGGGGGGGGAGAAAGAAGAGAGTGGAGGAACCACGTTCTTGCTACATGTCACTTGCTGTTGCCTGTGTTGTGCTTTCGTGTTCCGCTAGTGTCTTGCAGGAGGAGCAAGGAGCGAAGGCAGGCGCTAGGAAACCGGGGCCGGGCGACCCCTCTTCTGGCCACCCAGGGAACACAGGAGCTAGGTGAGGAGCCAGTGCTTGCGCTAGGTCCGTCTTGCAGGAAGGAGCTAAGGAGCGGAGGAAGGCGCTACGAAACATGCGGGCTTTGCACCCGCGAGGCAACAGGGCTACAAAGGAGCTAGGCGCAGGAGCCAGTGACTGTGCTAAACCTCCTCCCACGGGTAGCCTTCGGCTTCGCTACCCTGGGGTAGCTAGATTTTCTTTAGCTGTTTCACCTGATCCGTGCCTTGGGCGCCGCTATGGGAGGAAAAGGCAAGGATGCCAGCGCTACAACGCCCAAGGGCGCAGGGCCACCAGGTGGCCCAGCTACGGCAGAGCAGCCCGCTAGTGGAGACTACCTCCCGGAGACCCTCCGCGGTCTGCGGAAGGCGCTACGGTTTCGGCCGTCGGAGTGCGCCGAAGGGGCTGCCCCGCTACCTCGACAAGCCTCTGCTACAAGAGCTGATCGCTATGTCCCAAGAGGCGATCGAGACGCTAGACAAAGAGTCCCCGCCACGGAAGTGGATAGGGGCCGGGCTACGCCAACAGAGCCCCGCTAACCTGATGGAGCGGCGAGTTCTGTCCGCTACTAGCTGGGCCGACCTGTCCCAGGAGGACATCGCTGGATGACGCTATGTCCGCGGGCCTCACGCAGAGGTTCGCAGCTACAGAGGCCGCCGCTGCAGCAGCAAAGGCCCAGCTAGACCAGCTCACCGCTGCCAACGCGGCCGCTAGCGCTGCGAAGGCCAAGGCCCGCAAGGAGGCGGAGGCCATAGCAGCTAAGCTTGCGCTAGAGAAAAAGGCCGAGCACGACCAGAGGGTCGCAGCGGCCGCGCTAGAGCAAAAGCGGAAGGAGGCCGCGGAGCGGCTCGCTAAGGAGGAGCAGGCCGCCGAGCTGGAGTACCAGCAGGCGGTGGCCGCTAGCAAAGCCTCCCTGCAGGCCGCAGAGGAGGCCGCTACCAGAGACGCCACTGCTACCAGCATTCCGACCCTGCACCGGTGGCCGCTACTGCCGCCGACACCACGGCACCGGCTAACATGGACCCTACGCCGGCGGAGTCGGCCGCTAGGAGGTTCATGGAGATTGGGCCGAGGGCCGCTATCCCTCGCCCCCTCGCGCTACCAGCCCGAGCCGGGGCCGAGGCAAGGGCGCTAAGGGCAAGCCGGCCGAGGGCAAGGGCCAGCCGGCCGCTACTGTGTTCGACTACACTTGGGGCACGCTATTCGAGGACCCGGACCGCTACCTGGAGTTGCTACGCCGCGAGCTCCAGCAGGACCGCGCTATCCAGCAGGCGGGGGGGACTCCACCTGGAGGCTAGGCCTGTCCCAGAAGAGAACCGACTGGCTAGTGGAATGGCTACGGAAGCTAGTCCGAGATGGGAAGTGTGAGGCCCGACCCTTCGCACAAGGGCTAGGGCGCCTGGGGTTCGCTTCCATGGCGCTAGACTGGGAGCGCCCTTTCCTGGGACCGCTACACGCTTGGTCTTCGGCCGTCCAGGGGAAGCTGGGGCTCCTCACGCTACCCACGATGATTCGCGTCCTCTGTGGTTGGCTAGCAGACCGCCTGGAAGCAGGGGACCGTCTCCAGAAGCCGGCCTCGCTATTGGACGGTGCGGCACCGCTCTCCTTTTACACCGATGCTAAAGCCGAGAATGGACGTGCCTGGATTGGGGGCTTCCTCGAGCTAGTGGACGGCTGCCACGGTCCCTGGTTCTCGCTAGAGGTGAAGAAGGAATGGGCCCCCTGGGCCTTCGCTAAAGGGGACCCGAACAAGGTCATAGCCGCGCTGGAGCTACTGGCTACTCTGGTTGGTGTGAGGCTCTGGGTCCCGGAAGGGGACGCTAAGAAGACCTCCAAGGTGGCCATCCGTGGCTACACTGACAACCAGGAAGTCGAACTATTTCTTTGCAGCTGTTTGTGGAAGCAAGGGCATGCGTATGGTGTGTGCCTTGAGACCGGCCTTTCTGGCCAAACAACCAGGCTCGTTGAAGCGAGCCCGGCTTGCTGTGATCTGCGAGCCCCTGCGAGCGATGATAACGGCGACGACCAGGACATCAACGACGACGGAAGTGCGGCTGCTGCTTTGGGGAGTGACTCTTGCTCCGAGTCCTGCAGTCCATCCGCTGAGGAGGTAGAATGCGCCTTCATGTGCGCAGGCGATCGGTCTTGCGTCGCTGCAGGCCTGCGGCCTGCATTGAAGGACGTTGCTGAAGCCTTCTCTCGAGGAGTGTTTGGTGATGCTGGTGGCGGCCAGTACCTCTACCAGGTCCACCCGATCAGGACTTTTAAGACCCTCAAGTTCGCCGCCTCGACTCAGGACTACCCCACCGATGGAGTTTGCCCTGCCAAGGACGGTGACTTTCCTTTGCAGCAGGCTGCTGAGTTGGAGGATGGTGGCACTGTTGTTGCCACCGCCAGGTCGGCCATGAATGGCGGCGACCTAGCCGTAGTTTGTGTGCCCCATAAAGAAATGATGAAGACCCGCGAAGGGCAAAGAAGTGTTGTAGCGGCCAGCCCTTCCCCTCGAGAAAACTGGTCGAAAGAAGAAAATCAAGAGCCCGAAAGGCCACTCCCGAGCCCCAACCCGCCACCAGCCCGTTCTGGGCTCCCGAGCGGTAGGACTCTAGATGGCCAAGGGAAGCAGCCAGGCGGCCAGTTCTTCTTCGAGGACGGCGGCTGGGCAACTCTTGACGCGAATGCCTGTGGAGCTGCCAGAGACGGCAAGAAGCAGCCCTTCCACTTCGGTTGCCAGTGCGATTTTGCAGTTACCTACTGCAGTGAAGCAGCTGGCAGAGAGATTCCTTGGGAGACGAATTGCGATGTGGGCAGCCACGGCCTGCAGCAGCACTCCAATTTGAGGTGCCGGTGCGATTGTGGCCGCGAGGGTCACGCTGCTGGGATTCCCGACTCTCCCCTAGGGTTTAGGCCCTCCTTTGGTCGGTTTAGTGGGGTACCCGTGTGCCGGACGACTTCTGACGACGACGACTGCCTTGGTTGTGACGATGCCCCTGCTGACCCCCTTCGGTTTAGGACCTCGCCCTCGTTAGGTGGGTTTAGCGGGGTACCTGTGTGCACGCCTGCAGATGGTGATGACGACCCGTGTGGTGACGACAGTGCCCCTGCTGAACCCCTAGGGTTTAGGACCTTTTCCTCCTTAGGTGGGTTTAGTGGGGTACCCGGATGCACGACGATCGACGGCAGCGCCGACCTTTGCAGGGCAGATGCTGCATCCACGGACCACGTTGCCCCATTTGCCCCCCTAAGGTTTAGGGCCTCACCTCTTCTTTGTGGGTCTAGTGGGGTACCCGAGTGCAGACCTTGCAGTGCCAGCATTCTTGAAGCCGGGCGGCCCAGTGCTATTGCATTCAACGGGTTGCTGTGCGAGGAAATCACGGCAGCCAGCGATGATTCAGCTAATCCTGCGCTAAGGCGCTGCCCAGGGCTGCTAGGAGAAATCACCGCCTTTAATGATGAGGTGCCGGGCTGCGCTAACAGTGGTCAAGGCCGGTCGAAAGACCCAGGAACATCCACTGCAAGTGCTGTCTGGTTTGTGCATTGGGACAAGCTTGCTGATTGTGAAACAAGTAGGCAGCATACAGGGTTGCAGGGCACGGAGGGTTCAGGTAGATCGCAAGATCCAAGCATATCCCTTAGTGCCACTTGTTTTCCTTGGAGCGCCGAATCCTCTGATGCCATTTGCTGCGATGATACCGCTTCGCACTTTAATCCCGATCCGTTGTGGCTGCACACTGCGCTGTCGACTGGTGCCGTGGGTTCAGGCAGATCGCAAGATCCAAGTATATCCCTAGGTGCCGAGACTGTTGCTAGGAGCGCCGAGCATCATTCATATGATCATGCAGTCTTATGTCGAACCGACGCCAGGAGCCCTGACCTCCTGAAGCCGCGACATGTTGAAGGCACCGAGTCCCAGGACCCGGGATTTCTTAAGTGCATTTGTGAGGCTGCCACGTGGGTCGGGTATGCTCTGCCTTTGGCCTGTATTCCCCGACTGCAAGCTTGTTGGTCGCCTTTCGTTGGGGTGCGTGTTGGAGAAGCAAGTCACCCAGGCCCCAAGGGGTCCGAGGGTAAGAGTGGCTTTAATCTTGATGTGGGCAGCCTTTTGGGGCCTGACTTTGCAGCGACCATTCGCTCTTTCATCGAAGCGGCCGTTCAAAAAGCCATCCAGGAGGCTCTGCAGGGACTTTCCCTTGGAGGCAAAGGCGGCCACGACCCTGAGCAGCCAGGCCCCAAACGCCGTAAGCGCCATCACGGCAAAGGTGCTGCAGCTGCCGCGGGTGAGGACTCGGGTGGGCATTCTGGAGCTCCTGCTGCCCCGACAGACCCAGGCTCCTCGAATGCCAAAGGCAAGGCCAAAGGTGGTGACAAAGGAGTCGGTAACACTCCGACTTCGGGCACGGCTGGGAAAGGCCGGGGCAAGGATGCTGGAAAGCCAATTGAATCGGGCCGCGGGCGAGGCAAGGGCGACAGCGCCCATGGCAAAGGCCAGCCCACCGGCGCAAGCGCGCCTGATGATGAGTGGAAAACGGTCAGCCGTCATAAGCCCCAGGCCCCGTGGCGTTTGAGGTCTTCTGACTGGACTGCTCCTGCAGTTATTTTCGACGAGGTTGCCGGTCAACTTGAAGGTTCCACCGGTACCTATAAAGCTGTTGTTCTGTGTGGGCCGGGACAAGCTGACTTGCTTGCTACACTGCTTTTAGGGTCCAAGCGGCCCCATGGAGTCATTGCCGTTACGCCCGACGATCCCGAGGCCTCTGCGAGATGTCCGGGCGAAGCCGGCAACCAGTGTGCTTTCAGACAGGTTCGCTATCATCACATTAGCACGCCTGGAGTCGATCTCCCGGGCCCCAAGGTCGCTGCGGCTAAGGCTCAGAAAGTCGTTGCAGCAAAAACTGTTGTTCTTTACGCCAGGATCTACAAAAAGTTCGTTCCAAAGGCCACCTGGAAAGACGTTCTTGTCAGCCCCCAGAGGGCCTTCCATTGCTGGATTGCGCAACAACACCTCAAGGTTCAGGATAGCTGGGGATGGGCTAAGGAGCAGGCTCAGGGTGAAGACCACAAAGTCTACGGACTGTTCAGGGTGCCAGAGGCTGAGGTCACCGCTTTTGTAGCCATGAGTGGGCGAGATGGTTTCTTCATTGACCCGCCGCGATGGACACCCTTCCCTTCCTTTCTTGTGCAATGGGCTGAGAAAGAGCCCAAAGAAACTGACCTTGATTTTCTGCAGCGAGTTCGCACCATTGAGGCCCCCTTGGGCATCGTCGTTGGGCGGCGGGGCCTGGGTAAACGCATCCCCAGGGATGCCAGCCAGGCGATTGCTCGAACATGGATGCTCGAACATGCGCCTTTCGACTGGAGTGCGGCTCAGGCACTTGAGGCCGTCTCGACCATCTTCACTGAGGTGACCATGACCCGCCAGCAGCGCACACGTAAGGGCATCAACTTTTTCTTCCGTGCTGAACACGCCACAGATCATGACGTTGTTGCCCTGCCCTTTGAAGACGGGACGAACACCGAGATCCTTTGGTGCAGGTGGGCACCGGTTAGGGCCCGACCACAGGCCCAGACCATCCGCACCAACGGCTCCTGGTCCTTGCTCCCGCCTAAGGACCCCTTCAGCGACACTACCAAAACCGCTCAAGTTGCACCGCAGCTGCAGGACGATGATGAGGAGGCCGGTGATGCCGAGGTCTCGACCACGCCCGCTTCCGAAGCCGCCAAGGAGACTAAAGAGGTCACCGACAAGGAGACCAAGCGAGTCGCCCCAAGCAAGGGCCCCGGAGCGGTCAAACGGGCTTGTACTGAAACCCGAGCCCTGCCCAAAGGAGTTGAATTACAACCGGCTCCCACCGATGGCAATTGCCTTTTCCATGCTGCCTCTGCAGCTCTTTAAGGCCGCTCCGGAACCGCACAACGTTCTTCGCGCAAAGGTCGCGCAACACTTCAAGAAGCATGCGGACCGTTACGAGCTGACCTGGGACAAGGAGCTCCCCAACAAAACTGTTGGGGAGTCGTTCCAAAAGTACATTGATGCAATATCCGTTGTTGACACTTGGGCAGGTCACCTTGAATTAGCAGCCTTGGGGCGAATTTTTGACGTGAAGTTCGTCATTTACCCCACTTCCCCCGAGCTTGCTGTCTGCGCTGTTCATGCTCAACAACGCAAAAGGGTAGTTGCTTTGGCCTTCAACGGGAGTCATTACGAATGGCTCCGGCCCACGGGGAAATTGCCACAGGAGCTTTGTGACGTTGCCACAGCACCTCCCAAAGTGCCGATGAGAGGGGGCGGCAAAGCTCTCTCCAACGTGCCTAGTGCCACTGGGTCTCGTCGGACTGCTTGGACCTCGAATTCTGAAGTTGGGAGTGCCCGCTCTGTGTGGACGCCTGCAGAGACAATTGTTAGTTCCTGCCAAGCGTCGGTTTGGACCGCCGGGTCCAACAAAGGCTCCGGCTTCAGCTCTGCGGTCTCTGTGCAGCCTGCAGCTTCTTCTGCCCCTGCCCTTGGTAGCGAAGAGCTTGATGACCATGTTTGCCCTGAAGCCACTAAGCTGCCCACTGACCGACAGATCAAATACTGGGGCAGAGCCGGGTGGCGGGTTGGCCGCAATACAGAGGTCGTTTGCCCTCTGTGTCCTTTCCGTGCCGTTGCCAAAAATGCTGGTGCTCGCAAGTCCATCCTCTATGGGCACTACAAGACCCATCATCCCGGCAAGGTTCCATCCGGCGTTGTGCATGGCGCCAGGCAGCCTACCTTGATCAAGAGAAGTAAGGGAACCGCTTTGCATTGGAAGTGCCCTCTTTGTACATTCGGCATTGCTGCTCGGGACGCCTTCGCTAAAGGCGCTGACGCTGTTACTGCTGACAAGCGAGCGCACTGCACGCAAGCACACCCCGAAACCTCTTGGAGTCGGTTCAAGGCAATGGACAGGGCTCAGGTCATCGACAAGGCTGCTGTCACACGTCGTGGCCGTGAGTGCTTGCGGCGCCTTAGCACCGCAAAAGGTACCGAGCTCGAGGGATTCAGGCTCTTTTGTTGGCCCTACGCCACCCCTGCGAAGACATTTGCAATCACTGCCGGCATCCGGTCCGGTTTTGGCTGGATGTGTCTTTCATGTTTCGGCCCTTACCGATCTCCCAAGGATGCCATTGCTCACGTCCAGAAAGGCAATTGCCAGCGTGATCTAGCGCGCAGCAAGGCAAAACGTCGCATCGCCGCCATCGACAAGCTTGCCAAAGTCCATAGTAAGCGAGCCCCGGCCGGGGCCAAGAAGCAGAGGGAGAGCAATTTGCTCCAGCAGGCACGTGAAATCTTTCAGTTGCCGCTTTCATCCGATTAGCCACTATCAACATTGCAGGCAAAGGGGTGTCGTCTGTGGACACCATTGCCAACTACATGCAAAGCCACGGCCTGCAAGTGTGCACCATTGCTGAAGCTGATATCGGCGAGCGGTCCGCTGTGGGTTACTTGAAGGCTTGGAAAACCAGAGGGTTCCATGCCTCTCTTTCGCCTGTCGACTCTGCTGGTAAGAGCCGAGCCGCCCTAGTAAGCAGCATCCCGTTTCGCCCTTTTAAGTTTCCTGATGGGTTGGCTGCTGAAAGGAGTGCCTGTGGGCTTTTTGATGTCATGATGGACGACACTGCACAACAACTGGCTATCGTGTCGTTCTACGGACAATCAGGCAACATGCCAGCAGCCAGTGCCCAAGCTGGCGATGCACTCGCTGCATGCACACACTGCCGTGTGCCCTTCGTCGTAGCGGGCGATTTCAATATCGAACCCGCAGAGGCCGTCTTAGGCGAGGCCCTCGCGGCCGGTGCGGTTCGCTCGCTTGATGAGGCGGCAGGGGGCGCTCCGCTTCCCGCGACCGGCCCCGGGAGGGTTCGCCGCATAGATCACGGGGTTTGTCACTGGGCACTGGCCGCTTCCAGTGTCGAGCAGCACGACGTCTCCTTCAGTGATCACGCTTCGGTTCTCTATGAAATACCATTTCAGGTGCCCAGCTTCTTGACCATGCCGCGCCGCACCAAAATACACGCTGCCTCGGCCGAGGAAGTTGAGAGTGCCTTTTCAAGGTTTGACCCCGGCAAGTTTTATCAGGCTATTGGTGCAGGCAACGTTGATGAAAGTTGGCGTATCTTGTCCGATGTTGCCGAAGAATGCCTTGCCACCCCGTGCTGCGAAGCCTTTTTGCGCAGTCAGCCTTGGCAGCCGGTTGTTGCCAAATTGGCCCAAGGCGAAAGTGTTTTTGGTTCGGCTGCCACCAAAGTGCTCCGCAAACTGCAGTGCCAACTTGTGCAACTTGCTAGGCAGGAGGATCCAAGGCTTCGCCAAAAAATTTGTCGTTCTCTTGCCAGGGCTCGTCATCTTGTACCTAATCTTCCGTGGGTGTCTGACTGGGATCTGCTTTCCTTGAGAGAGGCGGTTGATTACCTTCTTGACCACCATCAAAGGCAAGAAACCGAAGCCATTCGAGACCAGTGGAAGCAGATGCTCCGGGACGATGTGGCCCGACAGCGATCTTTTGTCAAGTCTCGTGCCGATGCACAGCTCGAGCACGAAAAAGGTGCCTTTCTTGACGAAGCCGCGTGTGCTGCTGGACCGGTTCACCCGTCTGAGGTCGTACGGTCGCAAGCTAAGGAGTGGACAAAGTTGTGGGCTGCACCGCCCAATCCAGACTTCAATGCCATCGATGCGGTCCTTAGCAAAGTTCCGTGTGTTCCTGCATGCGACATTTCGCTGAGTTTCGATCCCGCCTCCTTGAAAGCACTGGCGGCCTCCTTGACCAATAAAGCCCCTGGACCCGACTCTTGGAAAGCCTCTGATCTTTGCCGAATGCCACTTGCTTGGTGGAGCCTGGTTTCAGTTTTGTGGCAACATGTCTGGGACCATGGCAATGTCCCCCGGCTCTGGCGTTTTGCAAAAATTGCTCTTATTCGTAAAAGAGGGGGCCCCAAAACACGCCCAATAACCTTGACACAGCTCATTTGGCGCATTGGCGCCAAGCACATCGCTCGTGCACTTCGCCAGTGGGCTTCTACGTGGGCTTCTGAGTGCGATCACGGCGGCCTCCCGGGCCGGTCTCCGGCTGGCATTTTCTTTCAAGTGCACGCCGCACTCAAGCGTGGGGTTAACACTGCAGCTTTGATGGACATTGCAGGATACTTTGATAGTATGTCTGTTCCTGCCATGGGCAGGGTCTTTGCAAAGTTGGGTGCACCGCCCCAGTTGTCGTGCCTTCTAACATCCTTTTATGACAGTGCTTTTCGGTATTTTAGTTTCGAGGGATCCTACGACCCCAACTGTCACTTGGTCCAATCGGGGTTCGGTCAGGGCTGCCCGCTCTCTCCAATTGCCGCTGCGGCACTTTCGCATTGCTGGTGCGAGTATGTGCGAGCCTCCTGTGACAACATAGGCACCCAGATTTTCATGGACGACCGGACCTTATGGGTTGAGCCCTCGGGAAATCTTCAGTGTCTCGATCATGCCATTGCTGCTAGCAACCAATTTGATCGTGCGTTTTCACTTAAACTTTCCTTGGATAAATGTTTTATCGCTGCCAGTGATCATGACGCACCTTCTCGGCAGTTGGCAACAAAGTTCGGTTTTAAAACTTGTAATTCCCTGGACCTGCTCGGGATCTCACTGCCCTTTTCGGGGTTGGGTGGCCTCCCGAAATTTTCCCTTCGCAAAGCAGTGCTTCGACTTCGCTTGCTACGTTGGACACAGGCCTCCACTGCTGCTCGTAGAATGCTGGTTCAGTCTTTAGTTGTACCTTGCTTGACGTGGGCTGCGGGCTTTGCTAGGCCAACTAGAGAGGACATCGATGCGATTCGGGCTGAGGTCCGTTATCTCTTTAGTACCGGCCACGGTGGTGACACGGCCACTGTTGCTTTCTTTGAGTTACTGGGATGGGGTCTTGAGCCCGACTTCGCACTCGACCTCGGCACCTGTAGAACATTGTGGCGATGGGCTTCTCATCCGCCGAGTTGGTTGGAAAATCTTCCCATCAGCTTCCTGCCTGCCCGTTGGCACGCCCAGCTGCCTGAGGTTGAAGCTTTGTTTGCACGCACAGGTTGGTGGTTTGACGACGGTGCAACTAAGATTTGTAGGAGGGATGCCCAAGGTGCTCTTAGGTCCGTCCAAGCCGGTTTTGAGCGCTTCTCTACCTTGCAAAGGTGGCTGGAGGATCACTACCGAGCCAGATACCTCTCACGGTGTCGGCGAGTGACCACCAGCATGCACCGGGGCGGCGATGACGGCCTTGCTACAGGTCTTGCCTTAGGCCCTCCGCCCGCCGATTACCGCATCGCGATGCAAGGTCACAAAGCCGCCCTTCGCGAGAACTTGTGTTCATACACCAAGAGGGCCTCCTTCTTGTCGGGTGGCACCACCTGGTTCTTTAATGCTGCTGCGCCTTCGGGTTTAACTCGGGAGCGAACTTCTTGCTTGTGCGGAGCGTTGCTGCCCAGCCGGGCACACCTCTTGTGGGTTTGTCCGTCCACTCGTGACCTCAGGCAAGGGCTTACTCTGCCGGGGCACCGTGGAGAGGAGCGTCTCCTTGCAAAACACCTTCGTGAAATACCACCGGCCCCGCCGGCGATCGATCACGAGGGGCTGATTCAAGAATCTGCTGAAGCAATCTCCTCTGCACTCCACAGAAAGTCTCACATCATTCTTGCGACTGATGGCTCGGCCAAAAGTGGTGTTGCGGGGTACGCGGTCGTGGTGGATCACCCTGAGGTGCACTTCGCTGGGGGAGATGGATCCGAAGACCAAAGCCCCTTTCGGGCCGAAGTCTGCGCTCTACATCTGGCTCTAAAAAGCATTCTTGTTGCTGCTGCAGGTGGTGCTACGGGGCTCGTTTCAGTTGCAGTTGACTGCACGGCGGCCTTACAGGCTGTGCACCACTGCCCTTCAATGCCCCTGTTCAGCGATACCATTGCCTCGCTTCTCCGTGAAATTAGGACCACGCAAGTCGGTGTCAAACTGTTGTGGGTGCCCTCTCACGGCAAACATCCGTCGTGGCAACCTGATCACAACGATCTTGATGCTGCTGCTGTGCGCCTGCTGAACGACGCTGCCGATGCAGCTGCCAAAGCTTGTGTTGAGCGCAGACTCCGCGGTTCCCTTCGGCTTCAGTGGGCTCAGGACGCCAGCGCTGCGAAGAGGTGGGAACTCCAAGCTGTTAGAGCGTCTGCAAAAACGGCCGAGAGGCTTCACCATCATCTCCAATCTCTGGCCCCTCCCACGTGAAAGGGCTGCCGCTGATGCACTGTGACGACACCAGGAACATTCCTTGTGTACGAACACCTTGAAAACTTTCGAACCCTCCCTCGGGAGGTCCGTCCTTGACTGCCTGTTGCACCTGGCCTCCCCCACGGGGCCTAGGCTAGGGTTTAGTCCTGGTTTTCCCACCCGCTTGCGCTTGCGGTACTTTACCTCCGGCTCCCGGCCTGTGGTGAGTACTGCCTGAGTACTTGAACGGGCTGCAAGACCGACCTTGACAAGGCGGCTGCCGCTCCTGGTGGGTGAGGCTCTCTTCTACGCTGCCTCGTCGTGCTGCTGTGGCCTGGGCTGCGCTGGGCTGCTGCGCTGCGCGCTGCTGACGCGGACCCTTGAGCTTCTACGACGTCGTGAAACCTGAACGTTCGCTATGTACAGTCTTCAAGTTTGGGGCATCTGCCCGTGTCTTTACTTAGTCTCTGTACTTCTGAGTAAAGCTGTTTTGAGACGGAGCTGCACTTGTGCTTTTGGCTCCTGGTAGGTCTGTATAAGTGCCTGATACCTGCATTTGTATAGTTCTGTCCGACTTGGCTCCTGGCTTCTTGCCAGCTTCCTGGGAGGCTCTTGTACACTTCAAGCCTCCGGTCGTTGACATAGTCAGCTTTTCACTCGAGTGCCAGACCCCGCGAAGGACTTCGGCTACCGCTGGGCTTGCACCTCTAGAGTAAACCTGAGCGTTTGTGGTACAGCACGCTTGCTCTTGTTTCGACTTGTGACCTTTGACACGTCGTCTTTGCTTGCAAGGGCGGCGCGAGAACCCAACAAGTAAAAAAGAAGCGCTACTGAAGAAGGCTATGACGACGAAGTTCCCGTCGACCTTGGTGTTGATGGAGCTAGCGGAAGAACTCTCCGCTAAGAACTGTGAGCTTCAGCTACAGTGGATCCGCAGGGATCTGAACCAGCTAGCGGACGACCTCACGAACGAGAACTTTGCTAGTTTCTCCCCGGACTTCAGGGTGAACCTGGAGGGGGAAAAGCTAGAGTGGCGCGTGCTGGGCCGTCTCCTCGAACACTCGGCTAGCTACTTCCAGGAGCTAGGAGTGAGGAAAAGGA